TGCATTTATTATTATTATTGTTGTTGTTGTTGTTGTTGTTGTTGTTGTTATTATTATTATTATTATTATTATTATTATTATTATTATTATTAATAGGATTTACAGTTGGGTTCTAACTGGATTGACTTTAATCTCGTGAGTGGGTGTATCTCATTCTTCATTCAAACTCAAGACTCATTCTCATGCTCCCATACCTCAAGCCAGGAACTGGTATGGGACAACGTCTACATCAGATCAAGCAACATTGACAACTGGACCACAAAAAGTACATGTAAATGTACATGTATTATAATGAATAATTATACTTAATAAATATAGGCATTAATGTACATTAATTAATTGGTTATTGTTGTATGTACATGTACTACCTCCTCCAAAATTAAGAAGTAATGTACTTCCTCAGAGAGAAGCAGTTTTACATCCTTTGTTTTATTTATTTATTTATTCATTTATTTATTTATTTATTTATTTATTTATTTATTTATTTATTTATTTATTTATTTATTTATTCATTTATTTATGTAGCGTATTATGGCAGTACTGTACTCCGTATAGTCATTAATAAGAGGCTATCATCCTTACCTAATGTAAGGAGACTGGAGCTATCACTGGGTGATGGAGTCAGTCAGGACAGGATTAAAGAAATAATGACACTAGTGTTTAGTAAGGACACTGGTCTAATGGCTACTGGTCGAACGGTGGGTGCTACTGGTACTAGCGGAACAGTGGGGACTATGGCTAATGGTGGAACAACTAGTGGTTCAGTGGGGCCTGGTTCGGTGGAGCCTGGTCAAATGGTGAAGGCTACTGGTGGCACAACGAATGAAACTGGTCGTACGGTGGGGACTGTGGCTACTGGTCGTACGGTGGGGACTGTGGCTACTGGTCGTACGGTGGGGACTGTGGCTACTGGTCGTACGGTGGGGACTGTGGCTACTGGTCGTACGGTGGGGACTGTGGCTACTGGTCGTACGGTGGGGACTGTGACTACTGGTCATACAGTGGGATCTGTGGCTACTGGTAAAGTAAAGGTGTCTTCTGCTAGTAACCCTATTAGAATCTATTTGGTAAGATAGCTGGATCAAGTTTTATTATTATTATTATTATTATTATTATTATTATTATTATTATTATTATTATTATTATTATTATTATTACTATTATTATTATTATTATTATTATTATTATTATTATTATTATTATTATTACTATTATTATTATTATTATTATTATTATTATTATTATTATTATTATTATTAAAATACATGTAGGATAAGAGTAGTGAGAGTGCTGCTACTAATGATGATGAAGTGTCTCCAATCACTGCTAATGCTAACCTACACACACCCACCCCTGCAGTAAGTACATGTACATGTACATGTATCAGAAAATGTAATGAAAATGATACCTTTTCATTTTTGGCTAATTTTTGCCAAAATCCCTGTACTATAGTACAGGGACTTAGGCCTGATTTTTGAGCAACTTAGAATTTGTGAAAAAATCTTTACATGTGTATCATTAATAGGAGAGGTTCATATGTTCCCAGGACACACCCACAGAGCAGCCGATAGTAACACTCACTCCTTTCACATCAACTCCTAAACCACTTCCACCTCTTGCGCAATCATCTATCAACTCCGCCTCCAATTCTCATCAATCAGCCACACCCACTAATGCATTACACGTACGTGTAACAGTGACCAATCAAATTGTAGCTAAGCCATCAGGTCCGACTTTAAAGTCTACCAAAGGTTTATCTAGTGATGCTACAGTGAAGGTACCACCAGTGTCCAATTGTCCAGTGACCCAGTCTTCTACCGTTGTCTCTAAACCGGCGTCCATTGTACCTGCGACCAATAAATCATCATCTTCCCTTGGCACCAAACCAGTTACTAGCAAAAGGCCTACTTCTGTAGCTACTCCCAATAAACTGGTAATTACATCTATTAGTACATTTGTACGTATTTATTATTTCTAGTTTTATTTTTGTTTAATAAATTTTGTATTATTCTTTATACTTAGGTGAGAGCAGAGCTCCAGTTTGAAGGTACTCCCCCTCCTCTCCCTCCATCAGTCCTGCCCTCCTCCTCTGCTCATAAAGACAGTAGCAACTCCTCAAAGAAAGGAGGACCATCTTCAGCTACTAAAAAGGAAGAAGGAGCTTCAAAGAATGGACGACTCTCTCTGGCCCGATCTTGCAAGACCAGAGCTCTCTTATCCACAGTATCATCAAACTGCATGGACACTTTTGACTATGCAGAACAATCAACCATCACTGCCTCCAGCAATAATAATAACAATAATAATAATACTACTGCTGCTATTAATAGTGTTACTAAAAATAGTGTTACTAAAAATAGCTCTAAGAGGAGACCTGTTATTCGTAGTGCTAGTAAGATTCATCCAGTTGAGTCTGCTGGTGTTAAGAAGGTACTGGAGGAGTCCTTCATGTCTGAGACTAGTGATCATGATATCAGTGTCTATGACTTCCCTCCTGTGAGTTATATTGTGATAATTACATTACATGTACCTTAGGATGGGTATTAATTGCGACACTTAATTTTAGCGCTAAATTTTAGCGTTTTTAGCGAGTGTACTTCAAATCGCTAATTCAACCACTCGCTAATAATAGTTATTATGTACTTGTGTAAACAAGTACACAAGATAGGCAAGATCTGTAACAAGATAACAGTAGATAGGGTGGTCCTGTTAAGTGTTCTGCTCTTAAATGTATAGATTGGGCTTCTTGAGTTGTGTTATGCTATTGAATGGGGGTTTTATCATTGATTTTCTTCCTATTTTCGCTAATATTACATTTCGCTAAATCAGGGTCCCCTTAAAAACGCTAAAATTTAAAAGCGCAATTAATACCTACCCTAAGGTATATTATTATTGGATGTATTTTTATTATATTATTTATATTTATTTGTAGAGTCCTGTAAAAAGTAAGAATGGATTGTCAAAGTCCACGAGGAAGCAGTCACTAGTATCAAGTACTTCATCAACCGCTACCAGCCCACAGAGGCCCTCTATATCCAACACTGGACCACCTAACAGGACCTCAACCACTAACAGGACTAGTAGTAATACTAATATAGCTGAGACTGCTACCATTAACAGATCTGCTGTTATTAATAATAGCACAGCTACTAACAGTACTGCTGTCCCTGGTGCTACTGACAGTACAGTTAACAGACCTTCAGTTACTACTGATAGCACTACTGCTCCTCCCCCTGTGGTTCCTAAGAGGAGCTTTGCTAGGAAAGTCCCTGGAGTTAGGAGGTACTCTACTGGACTGAAGTCCCTAGACAAGTCCCTGGACAGGAGGGGGAGAGGGAAGAGCGTTAGCTTTGGGTCCTCGTCATCTTCTGCTAATAACTCAAGGGACGTACTGAAGAGCATATCAATGATTGAGGAGACACAGTTGGAGACTGATAAGGAGATTGTACTGGGTAATGGTGGGGCTGGTGAAAGAGATAAAGCTAGCAATGAAGGAAGAACAGAGAAAAGAGGAGAGACAAAGGCCAAGAGAGTTGAATCTACTTCCACTCAAAAGAAGAGTACAGGAAAGAAAGAGAGTGTAGCTAGTCTTGGAAAGAAAGAGAGTGTAGCTACGTGTAGTAATGGAAAGAAGGACAGTGTAGCTAGTCATGGAAGGAAAGATGGAGACAAAGAGAGGAAAACTGCTAGCAAGAGTAAAGAAGGAGTACCTTTAATGGCAGCCGAACCTCAAGTAGCAGAGATAGAAGGAGAGATTGTGATCACAAGGATAGATGAGAGACCAAACACAAGAAGTAGAAAGAAAAAGTCTCTTGATGACAGCTTTGATGATATTGTTAAGAGGAGGCCCAAGTCTCGGCAGCGCCCATGTGTCCCTTCTCCTGTGATTGATTTTGATGATGACAGTGACTTCAGTCTTGAAGACATCAGTATCACTTACTCCTTCAATAGCAATGGGAATAGGAATAAGACGGGAGGGAAGCATCAGCAGTGTATTAATGGAGATAAGGAAGAGAGAGACACTGGTCCTGATACTAGTGACATTAGGGTAGCTGGTAGTACCAGTAGAAGTGAAGGAGGAGCTAATGGGGGCTATAGAGATAATGGAGTCACAAGGAATGGTGGTAGAGAGAATACTAGCTGCACTATTAGTATGAAGAGCAATGGTAGAGAAAGGAGAGAGGAAGAGATGGTCACTGCCCATGACTTTAGTTATGGAGGGAAGAAGATTCTAAGGAAAGGACTTCGAGTGAGTTTAGAGAAGACAGGAATGGAAATAAGAGAGAGGGCTACTGTGACCAGCCGGTCGTCAGGAAGGAATAGCTTAAATGGAGGAACCCTATCAGATAGAGGGAAGACAGATCACTCTGTTCATATGTTAGATGAATCAATGGAAGAGTTCATTAATGAGGATCCCACTAGTGTAGAGTGTAGCCTCAGTACTGATGATACTACCTGGTCTCCTCAGACTAAAGCTAAAGCACCAGCTCCTAATAATAAAGCAACAAAGACTGTTCACTTTGGACCAGTTTCCAACAAGCTACATGTTAGCAATAATGACACTGCTGATACTAATAATGGAGGTACATGTATGTGTACATGTACTAGAATTGTACTGTAATAAGAATTAGATTTTTGTTAGATATTATACATTATTTATGATTCTGTACATGTACATGTACATAATTGATTGTTTTTTAGAATTATACCACCCCATTATTTACTACCACATATTGAAAGTTGATAATTTATTTTAGTTTATAAAGGTGCTCCAAGCCCTCAGCTGGCCTTGTCTCCTAATGGCAGTGTGTCCTCAAGTCAAATGGATCTTGACTGCTCAGTGATGTCAGCTTTTAGAAAAGATTGCACTGTATGTTGTCATGCATTAATTGTTAATATTTTATTGATAATATACATACATGTACATGCATGTAGGTTCTTTTTACTGATATTTCAACTCTTAAGAAGATGTCAGCTCCTACTGTCAGCAGTAAACCGTCTAATAATAAGAGGAAGAGGAAGAATGAGGGCAAACCTGGAGGTAAGAGAATTATAATTATAATCTTTATCTATAGAATGTATTCCTTTTGGTTGACTATAATAATAGCCCATGGTTTTTTCCAAAAATGGCTCCGAAATCACCCCAAATTTTTATTACATTTTCTGATACATATTGATGTCCTTATGCCGTGTAGAAAGTTTGAGCTGATTCCGACTTCAATTTTTCAAGTTACGGCCATTTTAAAAAAACATCAAAATTCTGAAAAATACCCAAGGCTATAGCCCATGGTTTTTTCCAAAAAATGGCTCCGAAATCACCCCAAATTTTTATTACATTTTCTGATACATATTGATACCCTTATGCCGTGTAGAAAGTTTGAGCTGATTCTGACTTCAATTTTTCAAGTTATGGCCATTTAAAAAAAACGTCAAAATTCTGAAAAATACCCAAGGCTATAGTCCATGGTTTTTTCAGAAAATGGCTCCAAAATCACCCCAAATTTTAATTACATTTTCTGATACATATTGATGTCCTTATGCTGTGTAGAAAGTTTGAGCTGATTCTGACTTGAATTTTTCAAGTTACGGCCATTTTTAGAAAATGCCAAAATTCTGAAAAATACCCAAGGCTATAGCCCATGGTTTTTTTCAAAAAATGGCTCCGAGATCAACCCAAATTTTTATTACATTTTCTGATACATATTGATGCCCTTATGCTGTGTAGAAAGTTTGAACTGATTCCGACTTCAATTTTTCAAGTTACGGCCATTTAAAAAAAACGTCAAAATTCTGAAAAATACCCAAGGCTATAGTCCATGGTTTTTTCAGAAAATGGCTCCAAAATCACCCCAAATTTTAATTACATTTTCTGATACATATTGATGTCCTTATGCTGTGTAGAAAGTTTGAGCTGATTCCGACTTGAATTTTTCAAGTTACGGCCTTTTTTAGAAAATGCCAAAATTCTGAAAAATACCCAAGGCTATAGCCCATGGTTTTTTTCAAAAAATGGCTCCGAGATCACCCCAAATTTTTATTACATTTTCTGATACATATTGATGTCCTTATGCATACATGTAGGTCCTATATTAAAGAAAGCCAAGTCAGCTACTGAGTCCGTCCTTCATTCCTCTACTGTTAATGATGATGAGTCTTCGTTGACTGATAATGTATTAACTGCTTCTGATGAGGCATCCAAATCAATGGAGGTATTAATAGTGATGATAATGTTATCGTCTATTTTTAGTAACAAATTGAATTGGTTGTGTAAACAAAATAATTTCTATTTTTATTGTTAGGTTGTTCTAAAAGACATTAGGAAAGAGACCCAATTTATGGAAGATCTGTAAGATTCACTTTATATCATTTCAAACAAGTTTAAGTGTATTTTCAACTTGCTGTATAATATTATAAAGAATTTCCACATAGCAAAATGCCTAGCTGTATTTATATACTGATGTGCACTTGAAATGCAGCGCTATAGTGAGTTCTCCCTCCCTCTCTCTCTCTCTCCCTCTCAGCTATCATAAAGCTAGATTAGAACACAGCGAGTTTACCGAGCACCAAAAGAAAAGATTTGAAGAGGAAAAGGACAAACTTAACGAGCCTCTGGCTAAACTAAGCAAGGAAATGAATAGAATAAAGAAGAAGATTCTTCAAGAGCAGGTTAGCGTACATGAAACACATGTTCAACCATAATTTAATTAATTGTTTTTTTAATGCTAGCATGAGAGGAGTATGAGTAATGTGAGGAAATCTCTTCTTACAATGGTAAACAAACTAGTCCACGAGTCATAAACAATGTAGCTACATGTACATGTATAATTAATAATTATGTTAATATCATTTAATCATCAATCATTATATGTCATATTATTATTATTATTATCATTATGTTATATTATTATTATTATTATAAATAAAAAACAAAAAAACAAAACCAAAAAAACCGAAAGCAGTTAAACAACCACATCAACCGCCAAAGAGAGTACGATGGAACACAAATGACACAAGAAGTGGTATTTCTCTCCCTCCACATGGAGACAGATAACCTCTGGAAGAGGTTAAACCAAAAACATCTCATTAACCGCAGAAGAGAGAACTAGGTGGCATTTCCCCTCCACAAGGAGACAGTTAATATCTCAAAGAGGTAAGCATTATGCTATTATTATTATTATTATTATTATTACATTAATTATATCCAGTATGTCATCATTAGCCCTTAGGTTATTGCCTTGATTAATGCTAAATCCAATAGCATCTCATGCATCAATGAGTGATTGATTCTCATCCATAGAGTGAGTATACTTGTTTTTGTGTTGTTATGTTCATCCGTGGATTTATTTACTACCGTCCTGATTACATTAGAGTTACCACATAAACACTTAATGGCTTTATAAGTATACACAGGACTGACAAGAGTTACCTCAATGTTTTGACTGTGCCTTCTTTAAATGGAAGCATTACTCAGGATTACAGCACAGAGCTATAGCACATCCTGTGGTTCTGGGAATCTGATGTGCTGTTAAACTTAAGCTGAATAAAGAATAGTTTATGCATTCAATGGAGGGAGACAATAGACAGACTTATCAAGGCCTAAAGCAATACTCACTCAATGAGAACAATGTGTACGAGTTGTGTCAAACCTCTCGCAATGGAGAGAGGAGAGCTGAAGTGCCTAAGGATATAAAGGAAAGCAGCAACAAGGAGATAAGTAAACCAGTCGTTATACTCATCATTGTATTGCTGTCACTGATAGTAATACTACTGGTTGGTATCTTTTGCTTGATGCTTTCTCAAGTAATTAGAAAAGATACAACCAGTACTACTGTACCTGCCACTGGAGCTACTACTGGAGCTAGTACTAGTGGCAATGGGTCACCACCAGGAGCAGTTGATGATATACTACTAATAGCACAGAAACTGTACAACGACTCCACTGCTTTACCTACCTCTTGTGAGCAATTGAAAATGCGACACCAGAACCTTAATTCAGGTTATTATATACTGGCATCAGCTAATGGATCAACTACTCATACTTACTGTAATATGGGGTTAATATGTGGATCAACTGGATGGAGAAGAATAGCATATTTTAATTCATACGCAGAGGCCTGTCCTTCTGGGTTTAGACTATACCAGTCAAGATTTAACGGAGCTTGTGGTAGACCAGTAACAAACAGTAGTAGCTGTGCATCAGTTCAGTTCCCATCTAATGGTATCAGTTATTCTCAGATATGTGGTAGAGTAACAGGATATCAATATGGATCAACTGATGCTGTCAATAATCTTAGTTCTTCTTATCGTAATGATCTCAATTCTTATTATGTTGATGGTGTTAGTATCACTCGTGGGTCTCCTCGTCAACATGTCTGGACACTAATGGCTGGGGAAAGTGAAGTCACTACTTCATCACGTTCATGTCCATGTAATACTGGTAGTTCAGTATCAGTGCAGTCTTTTATTGGTAATGACTACTTCTGTGAATCAGGGAATACTGATAACAGTACATCAAGTACACTGTACACATCTGATCGACTTTGGGATCGTAATGGCTACTATTGTCGTTCTCTTGAATCACCTTGTTGTAATGTTCCTGGTATCCCATGGTTTCACAGAGACTATGGTAGTACTACCACTACTGACTATATTGAGTTGAGGGTCTGTGGAGATGAAGGAACTGATGATGAAGACAGTCCTGTTACTAGTTATGAGATTTATATTAAGTAATGAAGTTAAAAGTGTATGCTACTTAAGGTG